CTAAGAATATTGTGCTGTTCTTCATTATTCTGAACTGGTAGGTGAGACAAGAAACACAGTTGCTGTTGAAAAGAGCCTAGATGCATGAGAAGCTACCTGAGAAGAGTTACAGCTTTCCACACCCAATATCATAATTCTGAATTTAAAAATAAATGAAATAGCAAATTTTCTGTTTTTTCTCTCTCTGTCTTTCAGAACTATGCACACCATAGTTCACACATATTTTCACTACAAACACTAACCTACTGAGTTGCAAATAAATAAACCTGAAGAGCATCTTTTCCTAGTTTTTATTGCATGTTACTTGGCTAAGGTCAAACATCCTTGCTTTGATGACCTCTCTCTAACACTCATTTCCTTAGAAAACAATCCAAATTTAGAATCTTAACTGTTGTTTTAAAAATACTTCATTGGTATAGCAGGTGAATAACTGCAAAATTATGGCTCAAGGTTTACACATTTCAGCCATGAAAAAGCTTTTCTTGCCCTGGCTACAGAAGACAAAATCTAGTCTTTGAGGTATTACTTGGACAGGGAAATGACAATGAGCAAGCAAGTGGTAGGCATTAAGTCATATTTAATTTGAAACTAGATTCTCAGTCTGTGGTGCCATAGTATCAAACTTACAGTGATGATGCTAATAACAATTTGTTAATATTTCCTTTCAAAAAAAAATATTAAAAAGTTTAAATGCCCGGAAATAATTTTAAATGAAGTTTTTATCTGATTGATTCTTTAGTGGATAATAAAACATGAAAGTTTTAAGCAGCCTAGTGACTATCTGGTCCACATAATTTAAATTTAGAAAAAAACCACAAATTAGGACAGAAGAAACATTGCAAAAAAAATACTTCAGAAATTAGCTGCCATGTAAATTGTTCTTGTAGCTCCCTAGAGTTTCATAAACACAGTAATATACAGACTCTCAGTTGTACACAAGCAATACAAAAGCAATTTAAAATAGATTTTATATTGTACAATTATAATAATCTCTCCCAAATGATATTTGAGCAAAGATGAGGATAAATAGTAAGAAGAGACACTATGTGTACACCAAGTTACAGGTAACTGAATTAAACACCACATTATGTTTTGTTCTGAAAGCCTTTCTAAGCATAACGTTTTCCTTTCAAATAACCCTTTTAATGAAGTCTTCAAGTATTTGATATACTCTTATATTTCTGGAGTTTACATGCAACGAACATGACATTTTCCATCATACTATATTCAGTCACATGTGTTAAGAGGACACAAATTACACAGCAACAACTGAGATAGTCCTTTGTCACTGAAAAAGCTATTCATTAAAAGGAAAACAAAAAATACATCAGTCCCTGATGCCTTGCTGTACCACTGAGAGTTAGATAGGTATATGTACCCTCACACTTCACAGAGTTCTACAGGTGTCATATCCTATCCCATCTTCTCCTAACCGTCTCTTCTTCTGAGTTAGACAATGCAGAAAGAGTTTCCAGAACAAAGGTAACTGAAGAGACTTTCATCATATTTCACAGAGCTTTGGACAAGTCGGAGTTCCGGAACACACGCAGATGATCAATATGATCAGGCGATGTTTAATTTATTATTTAAATGAGTAAACTTTTATACAGTTTAGTTTTTTCTGGGTACGTGCTTACAACAGGGTGATTGGATAGTTCAGTCTGTGCACGCATCTTATGCTTTGAGTTCATTGGTTCTGATGCTCTGTCCACGTGGTCTGACATCATTCGTGCCACCCAAAGTCCCTCCTATTGATCCGCCTTGAGAGATTTTCCTGAGATTTCGCAGGTGTCCCTTTATCTCCAGTTTCCCAAAACTTTCAACTATAAACACAGGATTTTCTCATACCTTATAACTATAAACACACAGCTAACAAGTATAAACATTGCATAGTTTCACACAGTTTGTAAGTATAAACACAGAGTTTTTCACACAGTTTGCAGCCTCCAAAGTTATGACAAGCAAGGTCTAGCATTTCTCAAAAGTATGGATTGTTCAGAATATGTCCATTTTCCTGCAAATATCCCACAAATCAATACCATCATTACTCTTAGATTTCATTGACTATCTGTATTAGGGAGGGATTTTAACATACTGAAGCCTGAAAACCATGACACCATTAAAAGCTTAACAAAAAACAATATTTATTACCAAGAGGTGGCCAACAAAATTAACAAACCCAAAAGGGAGGAAGGAGGAGAGAAATAAGCCCACAGCACGACCTCCCCAGTTACCCAGCTGTTGCCCATAAAGTTATCTTACCGACCTAGCATGCCTATAATTACCCATAGCAGAAGCTGCATCCTTGGAGAGTCAGTCAGTTCACAAACTGGCAGGTGGCCCTGCCAAAAGGCAACGTTGTCCTTGAAGTAAAGCTAGCTCCCCTCCAAGAAAGCACTATCTGCTTTTATACAATTAACTGAGTGACCACAACCTCCCAGGTGTGGCCAGCACTGCCCAGCCCGAGGCCCTCAGTCCCACCTCCCAGTTATGTAAGTGCATCTCTTCTGCGCATGCATGAGAACTTTGGAGATCCCTTAACACACGCGCAGCGTGCTTTGGGGGTCTTTTCTAATTGAGTTGGGGGTCGAGCCTTCCTCCCCTCCTCATCACTTTCTCCTTCAAATACCCTTGGCGGACAATTACCCAATCACAGAACACCAATTAAAACAGTTTATACAGAAGTTCTCCCTCCAAGGACGAATTCACTGTTTTATCAGTGAACTTGGTAGGGAGAATATAAACTACTGAAGGTGGCTTGGGCCAAACACAGACCAAAAGTATCAGCATAAATTAACACTCGTACATTATCCTAAGTCAATTCTTTGAAACAGCTATTATAAAAGAGGTAAGATAGATACCTTAAATTTCTTCAAACAAATAAGTTTCCATACATAACAATCCTCCATAATTCTAATACCAGCTGCTTTGGAGAAAAGCATTCTGCTGTCAGTCCTTTCTTGTTTGAGCATCCTATGTTAAACACCATCATAGCTTTACCTACATCAAAACTGATGGTGAACTTAGTTACAGTTATTTGAGGAAAACTGGCCAAAGTATGTGTTCACATCCACAACCCAAATAGCCAGGCTATCCTAGCTTACAATAAAATACCATGTTTAATATTCTATTTATACAGGATATATATATTGCTTACTAAATAATGGTAAAAATAAAGGAAGAATTAAAATATCAAAAACAATTGTCTGCCTGTTTCTAATCCTTCCCATAGAAGGTCTGGTAATTGCTACATTTCATAATTTTAATGGATGCTACCAGCTGCAGGCTCAGCCTAACAATTTGCAAGCACTTATGTTTATAGCACATTAACACTTTTGCACGTGAAACTTCCATAGAAGACATAAATTCTTCATCTTAATAATGATCTTTATTATGGTCTCAGTTTAGCCTGGATGAAAAAAATCAGAATCTGGTTCCCTGTGTGCATGCAAAGAAATCAGAAGGGCTAAAGGAATGGCAAAACAATGTCAGAAGAGTAAGAGTTTTTAAAGCGTAAAAGAATAAAAAGAAACCATTACTGAATATTTGCTTTCTAATTTTTCATCTAGTTTTTAATCTACTTTGCTCTTTGGGGTTTGTTTGGTTTTAAATATAAGCTTTGTTTGAATTCCTCTACAAAGCTAACACACAACTAGAAACAATCCTGTGACATCGAAAAGATATAAATAGAGAGAAAAAGGGAAAGAAAAGGAGAGTGAAAAAGTAAGTGTGCATGTGTGCACACATGCATGCGTATGTGTGTGTTTAGGAATAGAATTCTGATTTAATTTTAAAATCGACATCCATTAGTTTTAATTTTGTACATTCCAGTCATTTAAATCACAGAATAAGATGCTATCTTTGGAATCTTTTAGCATATTCCTCCAAAAACAAATATTTGTAACTTAAGATGTTTTCAGCAGTGAAATTCTTCTGCTTTAGAATGAGTTTTTATGACCCAAATGCTCTCTACCTTTATTCATGCACGGAAGACGGAGAATCCTCACGCCCACACTTTGATTTCCTTTTCTCAACTTCACATTTCAAAGGCAAGGAAAATAAGCTGCATTTCCACAGATGTAATAGGACCCCTAAGTTTATGTACTTTCATGCAGAAAAGAAGCCGGATAAAAGTATGGCTTTCTTCAGCTCTTTGACTGGCATTATAAGCATGTACTTGGGAAATGCATAGCTGCTTGAGAGAGAGCTAACAAACAAAAAATGGCACTAAACATCTAGAGAAATTTAATTTCCTGAACAATAATCTTCCTGTAACACTGTAATTGCACTTTAGCGGAGAAACAATCATAAAATTTAAGATTTTATATTACAAAGAAATATCAATATTATTATTGCACTTGGACTGTTGTGTTCAGTTTTGGTTTCTTTGTTTAAGGAGCCTGGTAGCTCCATTCAGCAATCTGTAGGTCTGCTGTTTCCCTGTCATTCTCAGAATAAATCTTGTTTTGTCCAGTTTCAAAACACGTTCCTACCAACCACAGGAGTAAACGGCATAGACAGGATACAAAGATAGCTCTTAATGCTGAGGAGAGATTCTTACCCACAGAGAAATCTCTCGTAGAGTATAGCAGATAGCCACCCATAGTAACCAGTATGTTTTAGATTAATTATTTATTTGAATAACCTTCAAACTGTCTTTCTCTAGTGTATTTGAATCCAGCCTAGAAAATAATGCAGTCTCCAGAAATTTATAATCACTTAGCTGTTATCATCAGTCACTGTTTCTCATTCTGCTTTCTGAGCTTTCTGACTTTCTATCACATCAGGACCATACTTTTTTTTCCCCAATCGGTGTTACTAGAAGCATTGCACCTACACTTATTTTCCTTCCATATCTCAAAGCACTCTTCTCTCCAGACCCATGGATACCAAAAAAAAATAATCAAGATTCCAATCTATCATCAAAACTTTACTAAATTTCATTATATTTACCTCTCGGAATAATACTTTCATTTAGAAAAAATCTAAATGTTTACTTGCTTTTATGGTTGTCGTCAGTGTTTCTATGAGCATCTTTCAAGAACTGGTCTCCCTTATTCCAAAAATAAAGATATCTAGATGGAAATAAGATGTGGGAAGTGATACTAGATTTAATGTTAATAATAGCTAGCTTTTTGACTATGCACACTAACAAATACTTATGGGTTTCCTCATGTACTACAAGTCCTACATTATTTACATAACTATATAATTCAGAATACAGTATTCTCGCTGAACTTATTTCTAAAATTTCTTAAGTACTGCATTTCAGCTCTCAGTGTGTTCATCTCACCTTTTCTTTATATATTATCAGGTTACCAAAATGCTGCACTGCCTTCACCACTGTAAGCCACAACTTCATACTAAACAGTTCACATTTTGGAAAATAAGAACAAAAATTAGGGTGCTATCAGAAAATTTAAGAACAGTAAAGTTTATTCTAGAAAACATATATGATAAAAGAAGTCACAGATGTAACACGAAGAAACTATAATGGAAGTCACTATAAGCAAATAAGTTCAAACCATTTACATTACTAATAATTTAGATATACAAGAGCAGGCAAAATCCTCTCAGGATTCCTTGAAATTAGTTTTGAAACTGTATCATTTAAAAAGAAAAATCTGTGTATAAAGAAGCTCCTACATTCATCATCATCATCATCATCATCATCAAGTTAATCATGCCTCCAGAAGCCTTCTTTCAAAATATAAAGTATTAATAATGTTCAGAGAAAATATTTTCTAGGGTTTGTTTTACTAGACATGACCAAGAAGTTTACAAACAGTATTATGAACTGTCAGGCACAAATTTACGTACATTTTATTCTTCTTTTTCATTTAGGAGATTTAGAAAAGGAATACACTTCTGTCCTAGAAGCAGCATCTGATGTCCTGCACCTGCCAGCGGAAATGTTGAATCAAGAACAAGTTGCTGTATCTTACCTGCTGGACTCAGCAGCTGTAACAGCAATCAGAGGAGGTATCCTCAGTGGAAGAGTCATGGGTCTTGGGAGAGTCTCAGTATCATTGTTTTTATCCCAGTATGCCTGTTCTAACTGCCTGAAAGCTAGTGGGGGAAGCTGGATGTTGCGGGACAATAATCTCCGCACAAGATAGGGCTCCATTCCTTGGGAAGAGTCCTCGTCCTCAGTGTTGTGTTGCAGAGCTTCTTCTGAAACCTATGATGAAGGCAAAAAAATAGGCACCATATAAGAAAATACTTATAAAGCTAATTTGATAACTCTTCTAATTCCTTTCCATAGCCTAATTTCTTATAAACGTTATTTGTACTTTAATGTAATTATTGAGAAAATGAAAAAGAACTACAAAATACAGTAAAACATTTCAAGGGTATAAATAATTTGGGGGTTTATAAGCAAAGAGAAAACATTTTTATGATGAGATTAGCATATTGATACCTAAAATATTTATTTATACCTCTACAGGGAAAAAAAGTGCTCTGCTTTAGACAAATTTCTTTGCCACAATATGCATGCTTACCTACAAGTTATCTACCTTTTTGAAGAACTGAGAGTCTAAATACTGATAATAAAATTTAAAAATAGTAGTATCAGAGATTTGCAGCTATAGACCTAGACTAAAACCAAGATCAAATTCACCTTAAATATTCTGAGCTGTTTCAAAACTCCCTTCTTTCTCTCTTGCTCACAGTAATTTCATGCTATTAGTAAGAGATGAGTGTTTAGGACAACCATTGCAGTGCTTAGAAACACTGAATAATTAGAACCTCTGAAGGTCAAGCCCTAATGAAATCTTACGTTTAATCATAAATAAATATTATTTTCAATTTAATCATCTAAAGCTATAGTAGCATTCTCTGGGTCATGGAAGAATGACAGACAATTCAGCAAAGAAAACTCCAACTGATAATTATTTTAAAGGGGAGAAAATTTGTTCTGAAAGTTTTTAGAACTTTTAAGAAACAGCTCAGCATTGTGAGAGAAAATTCTCAAAAAAATTACTTTTCTGAGAGAACTGGTATTCTGAGAAAGCTGTTGCAAGAATGAGAAAATATTGTCTTTTTTCCTCCGTCCTATACAAAGTCTTTTACCATTACCTGATAAATTGCTCAGCACAGATACCAGTATCTGCACCTTTTGCCTTGAATACTTTCCTGTGAAGAAACCCAAGTTCTGACCAAGTCTAAATATTTTCCACATTTAAATGAAGAATTAGAATGATAGTGTATATATGGCTATATATTATTACACCCCTGTCAAGTCTGCATAGCTTCATAGTCCCAATAAAATACTTGAGACTGCTGCACTGAGTATTCACCTTTGCCAAACTAAAGTTCACATGTACATTATGGTATATATTGTACACAAAATAAAGCAAGTTAGACTATACCCACAATTTACAAGCACACCTCCAGTTACAGTGCAGACATTGCCACTGTTTTGACCCATTCCCTGAGGACTGATAGGCACCTGAAAGAAAAACTTGCACAGCAATGTAGTTATTCTGTGTGCCCAGGGAGAGCCATTTATGAAACACCTTTTATGAGTAATTCTACTGGGTTTGCATAGCCAGGTTCTGGTAGTGGGGAAGCTACAGGGACGGCTTCTGTAAGAAGATGACAGAAATTGTTTCCATGTCTGACAGAGCCAATGCCATGCAGCTGCAAGATGGACCCGCAGCCAAGCCTATCAGCAGTAGTGGTAGCGCCTCTGAGATAACTTATTTCAGAAAGAGAGAAAAAAAGTCTGTGCAATCACAGACAGTGAGAGGAATAAGAATATGTGAGAGCAATAGCTGCGCAGTCATCAAGATCAGTGAAGAAGGAGGAGGAGGAGGAGGTCCTTCAGGGGCCAGAGGAGAGATTCCTCTGCAGACTATGGTGAAGACCATGTTGAGGCAGGATGTCCCCCTGCAGCCCATTGAAGACCATAGTGGAGCAAATATCCACCTGCAGCACATGGAGGGCCTCCTACTCTCCCACTTGAGCAGGTGAGTGCCTGAAGGGAGATTGTTACTCCTACTGGAGCAGGCTTCTGGCAGGACCTCTGACCCCATGAAGAGCAGGTTAGCTGTCAGGACTCGTGACACCATGGTGCGTGATGCTGGGGCTGCCTGTTCCTGAAGGACTGCACCTTGCGGAAGGGATGCACTCTGGATCAGTTAATGAAGAACTGCGTCCTGTGGGAAGGACTCAGAGTGGAGACCTTTGTGGAGAACCTTCTCCTCCGGGAGGGACAACAAGCTGGAGCAGAAGAGTGTGAGGAGTCCTTCCCCAGCTCAGGAAAGAGCAGCAGAAACAACACGTGATGAACTGCCCTATCCTCCTGCTCCACTTGGTGAGGAGGAGATAGAAAATTTTGGAGTGAAGTTGAGTCTGGAAAGAAGAGAGGGGTGGGTGAAAGATGTTTTAAGATTTAATTTTGTTTTTCTCATTAATCTGTTCTGATTTGATTGGTAATATATTAAAGTTCCTCAAGTCAAGTCTGTTCTCCTTGCTATGGTAAGTGGTGAGTGATCTCTTTCTGGCCTTATCTTTTCCCATAAGCCTGTCATCATACTTCTTTCCCCTGCCCAGTTGAGAAGGGGAGTACAGAGTGGCTTTAGTGGACACCTGGCATCCAGCCAAGGTCAACCCACTATAGTAACTTTCATAAGCTCCATTTATACTTGGACCTTGAGCAGTTGCTGTAAGCAAACTATTTCTAATTCAATTTTTAATAATTGAATCTAAATTAATAATTTAGCTATTTTTCTTAATCCAGATGCAATGTAGTTAAAGAAAGCAAATATTATAAAATGGTATGTATTAATGCATATACTCTGAAGCAAATCAGCAGTAAAATCAATCACTGGGAAAATATGACAAGAATTAAGGTGCTATTGTCATCCAGGGAGAAGTTTAACTTCATGTTTGTATTTTTAGTGTGTGCATAGTGGATATTTAAGACAGCTGAAAAAATTAAAACCAATACTGAAATTAATTATAGCTCTACAAGAAATGAAAAAAGCTGATATCAAAGCTAAAAATAATCTATCACATGCAGTAATTTGATCCATTTCACTAGTTGGTTTTTTTTTTTGGAAACTCTGAAAATTGTAAAAATCTTTGAATTGCAGCCACAGACAATCAGAATGAGATAGCTGAACTGTGAAAATGAGCTCAGTGGGCAGTTCCTCTTCAACTCCTATTCAAAAATTAGAGAGATAGAGGATTATGACCTGAAGAAAACCACAAAGAAATGGAAGAATTCCAACAAAAATATGAAAGCCAGGCTTTGGAGAAATCAAGCAATAGGCTCCTAATGTTTATTTCGGTGACCATGAAAATTAAATCCACTTGTGGAAAAACTGGCCACCTGCTCAGGTACTAACACACAGGCATCTAAACCAGGAAATATTCATCATACTGATTTTATCCACTTTGTCAAAACAAAAGAAAAACATGCTTTTTAGTTTTGTCTTATTTTTGAAAATGATTTTAAGAAGCATTATGTTTAATAAAAGAATTGTAAGCAATTTATATCAGATTACGAAATTTTTGGGCAGAAGTCATTGCTGTCATTACCACAAAACCATCAAGAATGACAACCAAGTTTTGGAATGGTAGGATGTGAGTAACTACATAAAATGATTCAAGATTATAATTGTTAATAAAGAGAAAGTGATTCCAAGGAATAGTTCTACTCCTGACATTTCTTACCTCTGAGAATGTACACAAGAAAGTTCCTGTAAAGTGACTGTTCATGAAATCAGTTAAGTGGAACATATTAGATTTTCTTTCTTTTACCTTACAGGCCTGGGAGACTCTCTGTTAATCCTTGCCTTGTAACCAATTAACTGAATGCTAACACATGACAACCTCTCAGATACCAATTAACTTACTTCAAGTCTTTTTGTCTAGAGCAGACTCTGGGCTGGTACATTTAAAATGTCTGTTTCCTTATTCCATTTTTTTTGATTGGTAAACTTAATGCTCAAGAGATCATTTGCTACCCTTCTAATTAGCAGTCATGTTTCTTACTTCTTATCAGTAGTTGCTTATTAGGAGGCATAGATTTTTGTGCAACAATAAGGGATTGTAACTCAAGGAAAAAAGTCAGCCAGTTATCACAAGCCTTCTAGAAAATAAAAGTAGCTTGAGAGAAGTCAAAAGTAAAGAGCCCTGACACTGAAAGGCAGGCTGGTTTTTGTCATCTTTTCTCTGGAGACCTCTTGAGAGACTTAACAGGACTATCTGTTTCTCACCTTCCTTAGTGTTTCTTTGAAAAACACTTTTAAGAAGTATCACAGTGTACATCTCTAACAAAGTACTTGTGACGTGTCAGTTCTCGAATCATCCATAACCAGTCCACCCTGGCACACCTTCCCATTCTTTTCAATTGCAGCTCAATCTTGTGATGAGGATCAAATGACTATTGATATCCTAACTTTTCTTTTCTCTCTTCAAAGAATAAATAAGCAAACTTCTAAGTGCTTAAAAAAACCATAATGCAAAAAACTTTGACATGCCACCGTGGTGCTCTTTAAAAGAATACTAATCAGGGAAAGAAAAAGGTACTGTCCCTTAACCTCTGAGTGTGTTCTTGCATTACAGTGTCACGGTATACATCATGTCCTCACAACAGTACAATTGAACCATAAGGTATCTGAAAAATAAGTAAAAATAATCACCTCAATTTGTTTATTTGCAATCCAGAGGCATGATGAGCACCAAAGAGCCAGAGGCTACAAGGAAAACTCATTTTGGAGGTTTGACATGAGGCAAACCATTTCTCCTAATGAATGATGGGGTTGCTTCTAGCCCACCTACAGGACAACTTCTCGACTCCATTCTGTGACTCTAGACTGGCTTGAGTCAGAAAATAATAATCTCTAATAATTCTAACTACTTCTGTACAAAAAAAAAACTTTTTTGCACCAGAATATTTTGAGGATACAGTATTAGCATCTGGACTTCCTTCTCTGTTTTACTCTAAATGTTATTTGTTACACTGGCAATTCTTTCACCATCGCCATGCCTGAGCTTCTATACCTGAAGAACTAATACAATTCCATTCTAGCTGTAAGTGTGCTTGAGATCCACTAGCACTTTTTATTAGCATAACTATTTTAGATTCAAACTAAATACACTACTATTCTTTCATGTAATTTTGTACTTTGCATTCCTGCATTCTCTTCACTTCTTCACCAATAATCA